GCTCTTAATTATGCAAAAGCTTGTATAGTGTTAGTTGTATTTTTAAAGGCATCACACTTGGAAAATGTGAATTTAAGTAAAGCAAGTTCTGAGGAGAGTGATCTTTACAGTAACTTTAGCTGTAAGAAAATTTCAGATTTTCTTAAAAGTGACAACGCTGTGATTAGAGACCAATTACAAAACTACAAGAAAGAGGTGAGAGGATAATTAAGTTGTCTAATTATTTCCACAGATGTAAGGAGAATATAAAACTGAGAAAATAAGTGCAAAGTAAATACAGCCTAAGCAGTTAAGTGCATTTTAGATTATGAATGAACCAATTTCACAGACCACCGATAGACTTCAAGCAGTTCTGGAAAAATGTTGTTTTGTGATAGTACTCACTGTTTTCAGAAGTCTGGGTTCTACTGTAAGCAAAATTAACACAGCCAGAGATCCTCAAGATGCCACAGGCGAGCGTCTAACCATTCATCTGCTGCCATCATGCCCCAGTGTCACTCTTACGGTCTTACCCCGCGTTGCTTGGGTGCTCTGGTTCATCTAGAGTTTTCCCATGAGGAAATAACCTTGGGCATCAGCCTGCTTCTTTTCTTGTCCGACTGGATTAACATTGAGGAACCTGCAGATGACGATAAAGGTATTGCACTGCAAAAAGTGACAAAACAAGTTACAAACACACCCACACCTGCCAGATTGCCACCTTTGCCAGGAGTCCACGCAGATGAATCACGCCTGCGTGGTTTGTACCTCCTCCAGCAGGAGGAATGGTATCTTCTGCTCTTCTGTATTCAACAGATCTTCTAGACTTTAAAGACCCAAAAGAATTCACGATCAAAACCTGGTCAAGTTAATGCATTACCCTTCATAAATGAAAGATGACACTACTGACAATATCTTGGGCAGCTAAAAATCTCAAGGAATAAGTAATATTTTCTTACGGGCTGCACCCATGGTAAGGGGTGAGAGTTGTCCAATCTTGTGCCATGTTCAGCGTTGGCTCTCTTAATATTCGCTCAACTCCATTCCTCCTTTTCTAAGGATTTCCAAAAGCCAGTAATGTACAGCAAGTAGTCACAACAGAAGAGCAATTCCTAATGCTCCTTCTACTCACAGGGCTGCTTTGGAAGAACTTTGGTCACTAATTTTTTCCACAGTCCTGCAACATGTTTGTCATGAGCTTATAGGGCTTCCTGAAGTAATGTCATTCTGTCTGCTACCACAACTTCAGTCAGTCCTCAGCCACAAGGTAGGTCTCCAGTTTTAGCCTAAAGGTAGGTATTATTTACTGTTCTGTACTGATATAGCCAGCCTTGCATCTCACATTGGTATCAAGTAGGAATTAAGCCAGGCACAGTTAGACATAGCCAACACAACCCACCTGGGAAGGTTAAACTACTTGCTCTTGATACAGTACCAGGTAGAGATGAATTAAAAGGTGGCACCTCAGCAATCTTTTAAGTCAGAAAAGGGCCAAAGACCAGATCATGTCAGGGTACGGACACCTGTTTTAGAAGACTTCTTCCCCTAGGCACTTGGAGTTGTGCTTCTACACACACTCCCCTGCACGGCCGAACCTCTGCTATGATGGCTAGACTGAATACCCGTCAACTCTCCAACACCTCCTCAACCTAAGCAGAAGTCCTCTGAAGGGCACAAAGGCTGGCGTACTTCAACAGACACATGCACATGCTTCTCTCAGAAGGAAGAGGTGTGATCTGCGCTTCCTGGGGCTTCGAAAGATATTCAAACCATGACTCCCAACAAGCAAGGAGGGTACTCCAAACCCCGAACCAGGAGCATCAGCCTCATGCTTTACAAGCTGGTCAAGGCTGTTTGCATGCTTCAAGCTGCGAGGTATGGGCCCAGGCACCCAAAAGGGTGTGGTTTGTCCTTTTCAGCTCTTGCAAAATCCAATTACCCAAGATATATGAGCAGCTGCTTTGACACTGCTCTGAGAAAGCAAACAGTCAGCAATCAGGAACATCTCAGAGAACTTCAATAGCAGCCAAAAGTAAGGCAGCTGTGAAAATCTGTTTTTACTATTTCCTTTGGAAAAAGTTAACAGACTTCTGCTAATTTATGACTAATGAATACAAGGTATTTATTTAAAAGTTCAACAGATGCTTTGCTACACAACTCAAAGTCAAACCTTGCAATATATTACAGGTTTTCATCAGAAACTTCATTCCCCTGAAGCAACATTAATGAAAAATTTTATCTTCATGGTGATTGTTTAAATAAATTTAAAAAAATAAAAGTAGACCTGTAGTTTTTTAAAAAAAACCTATACCTTGTATGCAAACAAAAGCTTTTTAGAGAATGTTATGAAGTTTGAATAAAAACCTTGCAGTTTAAAAACACCCTTCTGTTGTTCTGTTCTTCATTTGCCTTTTGCCTCATCCATACCCCTTTTAGACATGACATACTCTCAGTCTTCAGTTCTTCACTATATATTTAAGAAGTGATTCAAACATGCATTTATCCATGTTACTGAGTGGCTCTGAAGATGCACAGTAAGGTCAGTTCAATATGGACCAACAGGAAAAACAACCACAAAACTAATAAAGAGATACTGAGAAGTTAAGATTCCCAGTTACACCTGCAAAGAAAACTAGTAAGCTTTCCAACTGTTTGGATCCTAAGCCCTCCTGACAGGTTCCAGGATGGCTGTTCCTGACTGTGGTTCCAGTCAGGCACCACGGCATCCCAGTGAGTAAATTAAAATCTGAAAGCCTCAAGGGGGACTAAGTAATAATACACTTCGCTCCCACCGCCCAAACTCCTCCTGCAAATAATTTAATGGCATACACAACATTCCTGAACAGAACCGAGCAGACATGTCAACAGGTTTTTAAACTTATTTTATTTGCTGAGTTTGGATAGCATGCATCATTTTACAGCACCGGTAAACAAGTCAGTGAAGCATACTGCTTTTAGGAACTTGTATTGTGGAATGTCTTCAAAACCATTACCTTCCCCCCTCCACTCTAGTACATAACACTAGCTGAAGACAAGACAGACATATATCAGGGCAACTTCCTTATGGCTAAAAATACTCGTAGCAGCGACTTTTAAAGGAGGGTTTTATTAAGTCATTGCACTTGGGTCATTTATTGCTATAGCGAACAAAGGCCATTAAATAACGAACACCTTTCATTTGTGGTTTTAACTGATTGTCTTGTTCTGTTCGTCTGCCACAAGCCTACATGCAGACACAATTCCTGTAGAGCAATCCATTCCAAGGTTTGTTTCGTGCTCTAATCACAGTGAAGAGCTTGTATAACAAAATTGGCTATTCCACTAGGCTCAATTCTTGCTTTTCATCACCTGACTTAGAGGTATGAGTTCTAAGTAAGAGTGTAGTGTCTGACGAAAAGTATTACTGCTGCACATTATTCCTCAACATAAAGATCTGGCTCAAGTCTTCATTTGTGACGCATCTAGGCAATTAAAAGTTAAAAGCATTAATATTGAATCAGCTCATTAGCAATGTGACTAGCAAATATTACCTAATACTTGCATAGTACATTAATCAAATTTTATGAACAGTTTAAATCAGCAACTGACAAACATCCTCCAATTGACTTTTTGATGTTTGTATTTTATGATGCATCAACTGTGAAAAAAGTATACTCTCAAGAAGTAACACTTCCACGTCACTTGAGCAAGTGACACACTAAATAATTACTATATTTATGACTATTCCCATGAATAGAAACTTAATTACTTTTCTTACTGGTGAAGCTGCCAAACTACGTGGCATGTTTTTGTCGTTTAAATTCTAGTAGACCAAAAGGAGATCAGGTGATTACTAACAGAAATAATGCATTTGACTGGCTTTCTAAAGCTGTATGTTTTATTAATTCTTTAATCGAATGAACACAGCAATAAATATCATTGTCTCCCATCACTTTGCATATTATTTGTATATTATTCTGGTGCACAGTGTTGAGCTCAGGGGTTAAAGATAATGGTCATCCGCAAGATTTCAACTGTTTTCCACAAGATGTGAAAGACGCTGTCTTGGAAACCAGCACAATGCTGTCAAAGCAATTGTTCCAATCACTCATTAAAATACAAAGATGTTATTAAATTTAGAGGTACACAATATACTGATAAAGTTTATGGCATAAATATATAAATATTGAGACCTTTTGAGGGTATCAAAGTTCCAAAGGGATTTATTTGGAGACATATTATAAACAAAACCTGACTATTGTAAAAACAGATCAAGATGCATATTTAACCACTAGAAAGACCGATGACTTCAGTTTAGAAAGACTGATGACTTCAGTTTAGATGCACAGAAGCACAGACGTTGTGATTCAAGGTTTACTTTTTGATGCTGTAATATTTTAGGCACAACAGGTTGAGTTAAGACTGGATTCTAGCCTTGTTTCTGTATTTCTTGCATTTTGTGGTTTTAAAAGTTAGTTTTGTCATAACTTCACGATTCAGTCCTAAATCCCTTTTTAATCCAATAGTGCAAGCGACAAAATGTTCTGCTAAACTACCCAGATTAGATCATTCGTTCCTACCACAATGCATAGGCATTTCACCTGCTTCATTGAATTAACAAATTCCTATCTCATTACTCAACTTATAAACAGCATATTATTAATATTCTCACTGCAGACAGGCACAACAGCATAACCCTGGGTAAGACTGCCAAAAATTATACAAATACCAAATATTCCCTTTTGCGTGTAGGGGGAACGTAGTGACTACAATTACAATACAGTTATTCCATCCCTCCCAATAGACTATTTTACAGATTAGTTGTAAAGATAGATCACCCTATTTATAGTATAGATCTCTTTAAAAATTAAGCTACAGGTATTCAATAAAAATCTATTAAGAATTCCCTCTCCTTTCTATACAGATTCAGTAGTATTTTCAAGCAAACCAAAAAATAAGGTCTGCAATTCCAGCACAGTAAGAAATAAGGCCTCTTCTATATTGGCAAAAAAATTACACCATTATTCTTTTTTGTTTTCTTATCTCTCTGAATAGAAGACTATATTCCTTTTTTTTTTTTTTTTTTTTTTTTACACTATATTTTTTTTCTTTAAGACTGTAGAACACCAGCATCCATTATTATGAAATAAGAGTCAGTTCTCCTTGTGTTCAGCTTTGAATTCCTGGTGAGTTAAAAACATTGAGTCCATAGCTGTCTCATGTAGACATCACTGCTTTCTTCAATTTTTCTATTTCAAGCTGGAAAATGGACATTTTGAAAAGAAAAAGAGTCAGTATCAAAGTATCAATAATTTACAATTTCAGAGCTTTCATCAAAATTATAATCTTTTATGACAAAGACACTTAAGTAAATAAAATCCTAACACAGAAGCATTTGACAGCTCAATATTTACAGCTGATTTTATACTACTGTATTGCTAAACAAACAAGAATTTAAAATCATCAAAAATTTGCCTATAGTTCTGGTACATCTTATTGGAGAAATTCACTCTGAATAAAGTAGCCGAAGCTGGGTTGCGGAATCACCTGACATGTCCCCACATAATGCTGCATCATCACCTCAGACTAACTTACTAAAGCAGCCTTCATGCACAATACCGTGCCATGATTAATTTGTATTTCTTCAAATGGATTTAGAGGATACCTGGAAGTTACCTCCTCTTCATCCCCAGTGCACATTTAAGGTAACTTCATCGATTGCTTTAGAGACTCACCAGAAGTTCTTCTCAAGTTTTCAAAGTAGCTTCGCAGTCAATAAGAAGTACTGTTTCACAAATAAAATGCCCTTTTGTACCAGACTGAAATAATTTTCTACAATGAGCTCATCCTATTAACTACTTAATGGCATCATGTTGTAAGGCAGGTAGCCTTCTTCATCAATAAATCGAGAAGAATGGAGTTCATTCATAAGGAAATTTTTCAGATGCATTCTGTTCTTTCGGCAAGTTATCCACTTAATATTTAAACAGTTCATCAAAAGTTTAGGAAAGTTTATTTTTGCCCTGTTTTTCTTTTGATTACATAAAGTAAACTTGTCCTTCAAGTCTTACAAAAGCAAAGGATTAATCTTCTCATTTGGAACATGGCCAGTTGGACATATTTCTAGCAAAGAGCAGAATCTAGCAACACTAAACTGAATTCACATCCCAACACCCATATATAGTTAAAAATAATTTTCCAGATAAAGAAAGCTGAACTAAGATGAACTGTGAATCTTCTATATACATCCAACTGCCTCGTGAGGCATTCATTCAACCACACAGTTACACAGCAATAAAAAAATTAAAAAAAAAAAAAAAAAGTTGAGCAGGTTCGTTAAGACTTTCCTGTGGCATCAAGTTCCAGAACACTGCCCACATACTTCTAAACTTTACCCCCCTAAATAGCTAACATTACCTCCAGATTACTTCGCAACAGCTTCTCTTCTTCCAAATCCTTCTTTAGTTTTTCCAGTTGTCTCCTAATAGTAGTTAAGATATCAGAAATACAAGTTAGAAGGGGAAAAAATTTCACATTACTGAGAACAGGAAGCAAAGGCCTCATTTAAATTTTACAAGAGGAATTCACATAACAACTGTCTGATGCTACATCTTACAAATAAAACTTACATGTAAGTACATGCCCACTAGTGAACTGGTACTCAAATCTGGTGGACCACGAGCTTCCACCAACTCTCAACACTTCTTACCTATCACTATGCACTTATCCCTAACTTACAATCACAATTTTAAGTAGGCTACTTAAAAATTTGTACTGTTATTTTACTTGGAGAGTTGAATTTAAACCAAAATAACCTGGCAACTTCTACACAGAGAACAGAAATTCTTTAGAATAGAAAGTTCCTAAAACATGTTTTATTTCCTAACTATGTTCAGGCAAGAAAGTGCTAAGAATTATCACCAAGTTGCTGAAGAACTAGTTCATTAATCTCCAGAACTGATAATTTACTAGATTGCTTTGGAGACCAACTGATCCTGATGCTTTATACCCTCTCAAGAGGTCACTCTAAAAGCTGGTTTGGTTAGCACTAGTCATCATTTAAATAGTACCAAAATGAATGTCTGTGCTGTAAAACTAAAACCAGAAGAAGGTAAGTTTCCCACAGGTTGGTCTTTACTCTGTTTACTCAAACACCAATTACATTTTTCTTCTACATTATTTGCCAACCACAACCCTACCCACATGCGCATGGACGATGGGGTCACAATGATCACCAATTTGAAAAGCTCAGTAAC